ACAATTTTCTTCTTGATTTCGTGCATCATAAATTTGAAGATCTTTGTCAACCGAACTCTGTTCGGCTACTTGCTCTTGTCCTAGAAGCTTGTCAATTTCTATGGCACGAAACTCATAGGGCAGGGAGTATGTTCCATTAACTTCAGAAAAATCAAGCATGACTGTCTTGCTATGCTTTCCATGCCCTTTCTCAATAATGCTTGCTTCTTTGAATTTGATGGACTCAGAATATATACTACTTGATTCGGTTTTTTCAATAACCGAATTTTCTTTGTTACCTCAATTAATAACTTTATATTTTTGAATTTGCAAGGTTTCTCGCTCTTGTCTAATTTTAGCCCACATCTCAGCTTGGCAAGCTTTAAAAATTTTCATCTCAATTTCCATCCACTCTTCATGAGATTGCCCCATAATACTTTGAGACTCTTTCGGCAATGAGGTGCCGAAACTTTGCAATTGTTTAGGTGGTACACTGGATAGTACAGCACTAGGCGACTGCATCATTTGTACAACTCTAGCTTTTACTGCAGCAAAATCATGAGGCTTCCCGCCTTCTATTAGTTCTTGTCGAATGGAGTTGCACAAATCCCAAGAGAATGTAAGCTTGTTCTCAACCACCCAGTCTGGATATGGTTGCCCCCCAATGCTTTTAGACTCTTTCGGCAATGAGATGTTGCCGAAATTCTGTAATTGTGTAGGGGGTACATGATATGCCACGGTAGTAGGTGAAGGCATTTGTGCTCCTGCAGAAGTTTCACTTATTCAGCCATGACCATGAAGGTGCGGAGCCGAATTATGGACATCAACAGTAGCATATGATGCCAAAAAATTAGTAGCATTACATGTAGCAGGTGATGTTAGAGGGTAATTGGCCAAATAACTAGTAGTAACATGGCCAATTCCCCTATCCACCGGCACGTTTGGATTAACGTACTGCAAGTTATTTGCCGATGAATAAAAACTTGAAACACTTTGTTGCATACCATTGGAAGTTCCTACATAGGGTGTCTCAACTTGATTAACCGAACTCATCATGTTATTCGTCGGCATATAAACTTGTGGGGTTGCCGATGCATGGGAGTTGGGATACATATGTTGCATATTGCTAAAATTATATGAAGTAGAATCATGGATATTTTGTTGCATCGGCCCTTGCACATAATTAGATGCATGATTGATAAAGCTAAGGCTAGCCGATACATTATGCTCATTAGATGATCTAGCAACAACATATGCATTATTTGCATCTACGTAAGTGAATTGGGCATTCATGTTACCTTTGTAGATTGCAAACCCTAAATGACGATCTCTTCGTAGCAAGAACGGGCCGGAGACCGTACAAAGCTTCGTCCCGAGCGGAGTCGCCAAAAAGTGTGTTCGCACATGAACACATCACCGTATATCTCCAACGCCGAGGGTGATGCACCGCAGCTCACGTCGAGGGAGACCTGTCCGGAAGCGCGGTACGCAAGCAATCTGGCGGGTGCTTTTGAGGACCCGAAACCCCACACGCCCGGGAGGGGCCCCGTCAGGGCGCGCGGCGGCTATGGGCTGCCCTAGGTCGGCCTGACCGCCCCTAGGGCCTCGAGGTTCGCCGCCCTACGATGAAGAAGAACGAACGAAGAACGAGGAAGAAGAAGAACAAGGGAGAAGGTAAAAGTAAAGGTAAAAGATGATAGATTGATTTGTCGATTGTGTGTTGTTGTTCAATCGGCCGTCACCTCTTATCTATATAAGAGGCGGATGGACTTCCCATACAAGAAAAGGACTTGCCTAGCCGTCCAAATCATCAAAACCTAATAAGACACGGACTATTCACGCCCCCCGGCCAGGATGTCCGGCTCAAGGCCCGGATGATCCGGCCTAGCCTAGTTTTCTGACAGCGGCTTACTGATTTGACTCTAGAATCCGCATACGACCTCGGATTTGGACGTTTTTATATCAAAACCAACCGTCTCGACGAGACGCACAACTTTCATGTTGAATATGTTTTGATCCGAGGCCATCTTGAGGGCTTTTCGGGCCGTTTTCTAAAGTCTGCAGCAAAAAAACTTGTCCGGACATCCGGACGATTTCCCGGATTGTCCGGCCTTTACCCGGATCATCCAGAACTTGACCCAGATCATCCGGCTTCAGCGCCAACCTTCTGGAATCTTGGTGCTCCAATTACCCGAATGATCCGGACCCCGGCCCGGATGATCCGGCCAATATTGCTGCAGCGCACGGTTTTTCCTATAACTTTTGCATACAACCTCGGATGGGGACGATCTTTATATAAAAATCATCCGTTTCGACGAGACGAAGAACTTTGCAGTTGTAACTTTTTCCATCAGAGGTCATCTTAATTAGGTTTCATGCCATTCTTTAGTCTGATGTCAACATGAGCATCTCTGAACTTGTCATAACTTTTGCATCCGAGCTCCATTTTAGACCATCTTCATATCTATCTTGATCTTCTCAAAGAGAGCCATCTCATGGTGACTTTCAACAATAAGTTTAAATTAATCTTGACATAGCTTCAAGCTACTCTTTATAACCGTGTCACTTTTGAGCGTCAACAGGTCCCAGCAGATCCGGGATTGATGCCTGCCGAGGCCCGGCCGGCATCCTGGTCGCTCGAACCGGGAATGATGCTCTCATTAGTCCTGGTTCGTAACACGACCGAGACTGTTGCTCTGATCTGGCCAAAACCAAAGCCCTGTTTTCTACTAGTGCATTCTTGTACAACACAAGAAAAAAAAGGCAGAGAGAGTATTATTTATTTAGAAACTTTAGTCGGATGCACATCGAAACTTGTACAGATGATACTCTTATGTTCGGGATGAGATGGTAAAATATGTGTAGAAGGAATTAACAGACTACTTTACGGGATATGATAATACACTATTGTTGCCACCAATGTTCGGTAACTCGTACCATATCGGTCGGGTGCCCAATAGAGATAAATAGACGAAATTTTCAATTAATAAGCCACTAAATCAGTTAATCAACTATTCAATGACCCACCGAGTGCGACAACTGAACGTCAATTAATCAGCCGCTAAATCAGTTAATCAGCTATTCGGTGACCCACCGAGTAGCGACAACTGACCGAGCATACTTGCACATCTATTTTTTTTTTAAAACACAATACAACACAAATGCCCACATAAACACACATACTCGCCCCTACGATCGCATGTCCTCCTACCCCTATAAGCACCTCTGAGACTCTTAAGCTAGCACAACATCTTGAGACTAACAAAACCATCATAGGCATCTTTGTTGCTGACGAGAACAAGCATGTACTTCTAACTTTTCACAAGAACATTCCCTGATCCACTCATCCGCTCGTTTTGACTGCCAGTTTGAAAGCAAATACGAGGGTAATTATAGGATGAAACAGTTTCAGATACTTGCTTAAATACTACTCCCGCAAAGTGTAGCAAGAGAGTAATACAGGACGGAGATAGTATAACAACAAAACATTTGCCATGCCACAAAGTGTAGCTTCCGTTTGGACCACCAAGCATTTGTTGGTTCATACTTCATCTGAAACATGATCAAAAATAAAGCACTGAAGTGCTAGTGCCTAGTCGCAAGCTTTCAGTTTATGGCAAAACAGCCCAACAATAATCGTCTAAAAGATGTGAAAAAGTTCACCTAGTTACCACAAGAATATGCAAAATTAAGAGAAATGCCGAAGGGCAAACCAGCAACACAATTGACAAGCATACAGCAACCAAGTAAAATGACTGGTTAATTTGCTTTATTGCACAAAATCACTCCAGTGATGGACAACTCAACATTTGAGGCCTCAAAATAGGTTTGCAAGTCACACTTACTGCAATGCATATGCAACGGAAAGAGCAAAAGGGTACAGCTAGAAGTGATCCCGAAAATGTTAAATCACTCTTGGTGGATTATAGAACATGGAAATTCCAACTGCTGCGATATTGGAGAAAGCTCCACCTTTAGTATCTGTGGGACAGCTTCTCCTGCTCCTTGTACCACATTGCATACCTACATGGCATCAAGATAAACCAAGAATGTCAAATGGTTGACGAAGCACAAGATGTTTTGCTTCTCAACTAACAGTAAAGGGACTTCAATTGTTTAAAGAATGCAAGCCCCTTGGTGAAAAAACAAAATATAATGCTTACAATAAAACGTTGTCAATGATTGTGATAGGCTATCCAATGTGCTTCTAGTATTAATCAGGAGGTTTAAGAGTCCAAACTAATGAAGGTATGTGTTGTCACAAGTCACAATCCCTTGTGAGGATTTCCTAGTGCTATGAGAAGAAGGATGTACACATCGAAAGGACGATGAGGATACTTGTCACTGTGAGTTCTGACCAAAGCATTGAACCCAAACTCAATGCACTACAGGAGGCAACCTTCAAAGCAAGAGCATTTGATACTCACTTTCATGTGTTAAACTCTGAAATTAATGCAAATGTAATGGTTCATAGAAGTTTAAGATCCATTCAGCAGAGGTTAAGCATACCTTGCCCTTAGATAAACCGTATACAATTTACAAAATAAAATAAAAAATCAAGCCACTGAAAGGCTTGCAAAAACATTAGGCTGATGTGATTATCCATACAAGAGGCTACAGTATCACGTAAACTTAAAGCTACAGCTACAAGGTTGCAGGATTCCCCATGAACACTCCAAGGGGGCCCAACGGTCAGTTCCACGACACCAATCAGGTTAACCGAATCCCATATAACCTCCCATTTTCTGAACGTATGAATCATATGTACATTAACCAACAAACCAAGTACTATGTGCAGACCAAAGAGTTTGATAAACTATATCATCGTGAAGGGTACAGATGTTTCTCTCCAGTGCACAAACCAATCGCAGAGTCAACCAAGCCTAACTTCCCATGTCAATTCAATCCCCACCAATTGCATTGAATCAACTAGGCATGAAATTCCGCTGTCATTTCAAATCCCATTTCTCAAAGAAGAATTTTTGTTCCCACAGAAACCTATTGCATTGAATTGCCTAGGACTAGATCTCCCCTGCCATTTCAATCCCCATTTCCCGCAAACCATGCCGAGCCTATCCGGTCAACGTGGTGCATACAAGATACATCAGATGGTTTCTGAAGTTAAACATGCGCATAACACATCGAATCTGCGCGACAGCTCTAACGAAATCGGACAATCAATCGAGCCCAAAATCGGATCTCGCAGCCAACCGAGAGCCACAGGCGACCAACGCAACCCTAGATCCGCCCGACCGGACGCGTCCGCTGGGATCGTCCATGGAGGAGGAGTGGGGAGGGAGGAGGGAGGGGCGTACTGGTAGGTGCCGACGACGGGGGTGATGAGGAGCGTGGCGGAGATCCAGTTCTCGGAGACCTTGTGGTGGATCTTGGTGGTGATGTCCTTCCACAGGCCCGGCATCACCTGCTGCTGGAACGGCGACAGCGCGTACACCACCGCCTTCATCCGCACCGGCATCTTCCCCATCTTTCTCCTCGCCTCGCCGCTTCTCCTTCTTCCTCGGTGTGGATGCTCTCCTCCGGCTCCGATCAACCTCAGGACGATGGGGTGGGGCGCCCCTATTCCTCGCCTTCAGCAGGTATAACTTCCAGACTCGCTGAGGGGGGCGAGAAAGGTGGGCCAGCCCACGCGCCCGGGAAGCCATAGCCTGTTTTTTTGTTTTTTATATTTTATGTTATACTTTTTAATTTTATTTATACTTTAAAATGTTATAATATATATATGTCAAAAAACACTCTATAAACAATATAAATACGTTGAAAAAGTATTTGAAAAATGCTGAACAAGTATTTGAAAATGTTGAATGAGTATTTGAAAAATGTTGAGCAAGTATTTGAAAATATTGAATAACTATTTTAAAAATGTTGAACAAGTGTTTGAATAAATGTTTAACAAGTATTTAAGAAATTTTGAAGAATTATTTGAAAAATATTGATCATGTATATATAAAAAGTTGAACAAGTATTTAAAAATGTTGAACAAATATTTGAAAAATATTGAACAACTATATGAAGAAATGTTGATCATGTATATATAAAATGTAAAACATATATTTGAGAAAATTGAACAAGTATTAGAAAAAAACTAACAATTATTTGAAAAAATGTTGATCATGTATATAAAAATATTGAACAAGTTTTTGAAAAATCTTGACCAAGTATTTAAAAAATTGTGAACAAGTATTTGAAAAAATGTTGATCATATATATAAGAATGTAGAATGAAAAAACAAAAATAAACAAAGATGAAACAACTCGGAGAAGAAAAAAGAAAAGAATGAGAAAATCAGAGAAGAAAACGAAATAAGGAAGAAAGAAATGAAGAAAAATAACGAAAAAGGGAAGAAAATAAAAAATAAAATGGAAATAGAGAAAAAACAATGAAAAACGGCGTCGTTCACCTCAAGTATATTACACGCCTAGTCCTAAACACGTGCGAGACATAGGCGCAGTTGAAAAATGAAAACCAAAAAAGAAGCAAAAAACGCCAAAAAGAAAAAGGAAACCAAAGAAACAATTGTAGAAAGAATAAATAAAGAATGAAATCAAAACAAAAAATACGGAGAAGGAAAAAATAAAAGAAACAAAAGAAAACGAAAAAAACATTGAAAATCGAAGAAGCAAATGGAAAACCAAAAAATGGAGAAGAAGAAAAAGAATAGAAACAAGAAATTTAAAAAGAAAAAGGAAAAACGGTGAAGAAAACCAAATAAAAGGAAGAAAATGGAGAAAAAAATAAAAAACAGAAAAAAAACCTATTCTTTTCCTTTTAATAGGTTGCGCCCAGGGAGTTTAACACAAACTGGATATTGTCCTAGTGGCTAGTAGGGCAACTATGCAACCTAGCCCAGGTTCGAATCCCACGCGCTCCTCTTTCTTACTCACTTTTTCGAAACAAAGTCGCCAATGGGCTGGCTGATCGAGAAATAGCTTGTGGATCGTTCGTTCCCCAGCTAGGGTTCAGTATATAGGATAACTGCGGTTGGCCCTCGAGCCCATTCGGAGCGTCGGGCGAGGCGTCTGGAAGGGAGCGTCATGTACGCGCTGACTATTTCTCGCATTAAGCGAGCCCGTGCGCGAACTCTCGCCGAAGGGTATTAAGTAACCGGGCCAACCCATGTTCGCACACTTCAATGAAAAAGGAAAAGAATATGGGAGAAGCAGGGTTTGATCCCTGGTCTCCTTGGAGATAGCTAGCACTGTGCCTAAGTCTAGCACGTGATAACTATGAGGCGCGTTTTGTAGTTGAGACGAACGAAACCGGGTTTCCCATAGTTTTCACGGCTTTCTTTTTCTGTTTTTTCTTTTTCGTTTTTCTTCTCCACTTTTTGTTTAGTTTCCTTTTTTCCTTCTCCATTTTTTCGTTTTCTTTAGTTCTTTTCCTTCTCCGGGTTTTTTCATTTCTTTCTTTACTTTTTTTCCTTTGATTTTTATTTTATTTTTTATTTTCGTTTCGTTGATTTTTATTTTTTTATTCTTCATTCTTATATATAGATCAATATTTTGTTAATACTTGTTCAAAAGTTTTTAAATACATTGTAACAAAAAATTCAATTACTTGTTTAACATTTTTCAGATACTTGATCAAGATTTTTTATATACTTGATCCACATTTTTTAAAATACTTGTTCAATATATTTATATACATGATCAATCTTTCTTCAAATATTCAACATTTTTTCATATACTTATTCAACATTTTTCAAATACTTGTTCAATATTTTTTTCAAATGTTTTTTGAATAGTGTTTTTGGTAAAGTATAAACAAAAGTACAAAAAGAAAGGTAAAAGAGATAACAAAAATCGTAAAAAAAATAGGAAAAAGAGGTTGTGGCCTGGGCTGGCCCAACTCGCCACGTCCCTTCAGCAAGTCTGAAGCCAAACTAGACTCCTTGAAGGCGAGAAATAGGTGTGCCCCGTCATGTCGGTGTCAGAGCATCTACAGTCACATAGAGCTAAGTGCAGCATTAGGTACCAGCTGACCGGCCCAAATTTTGGTCGGTCAGCGTGCAGTCGTGCGATACACCTAGTGACATCCGTTCCTGTCGTTCGTCATCGATCTCACATGGAGACAAAAAAATCTCTCTGCATTGCACATCTCGCACCTCTTCAACTTGTCGCCTCCTTGCTCGCTGAGACACCAGCTGGCTTGTTCCCGCGATCTCGCGGCACCACTGGTGAGCCACAGGGCACCGCTGGCCGCAACTTCGCCGTTGCCGGCTCCAGCTCCACCGCTGTTTTGAGTGCATCTCCGCCAATGACGGTCGTAGCATGCTCGCGGTCAGTTGCAGCTTCTCCTGTCGATGGATGCAGCAAAATGTGGCCCGGTGCGGCGCTCGTACTAGTCTGTGTTGCCCAGTTGTAGCAGCCGCGACCAATGATGGCAGTAGTGGATATTGATTGCAGCCATCGTAGACAATGGTAGTAGAAGTTGTGGCAAACGATGGCAGCAGTGGATGCCGGTTGTAGCCGCTGCAAATAACTATTGTAGGACTGTGCGCTGCAGTTCCAGCAAAAACTAGGCCTCCATTGTCTCCAGCAAAAAAAATGGTCGAAGAATGTTGGAACCAGCGAGAAGATTTGCTGGAACCGCAAACACATTTTGCGGGAAACCGTCCTTCATCGTCTCCAGTAAAAAAGCGCTTTACTGGACCCATCCCAAGAACATCCAACCGACAACCTGTGCATATGCAAGACCACCTTCAAAGCCTCAGAGCTAGCCGCCTAGATCTGGCAATCATACACGGCCGCACTGCGCCCGCAGTGTATCCTGATGCTCATGTCACTGCCGGAGGGCGTCACCACTGGAGCATGGAGAGAGGGCTGCCACCCCACCACGCCATGCAGGAAGAGCCGTTAGGATGAATCCCAAGCATGCTCTTCATCGTTTATGTACCGAACGGGATTCGAGGTCGAATTTGCCGGATCGTCGGAGCAGCTCCGCCTTGGACATTGGTACGTCCACGGTAGGCAGCCAAGGATGATCTGGGCCTCACCGGCGCCATCGCCTGCACCGCCCGACAAGCCAGACCTGCCTTAGGTGCCGCAGCCCCGCAAGCTGTTGTTTGCACCCGGTCGAGCACACACCTCCAGAGGTCTGCCCGCAGCCATCCGCGCTTTCTCACCAGCCACCACCGTCGCCGGAGTTCTAGACGGAGCCACACCATGGTGCCCTAGGCAGCGCTACGCCTCCGCGTGCTGTTGCCGCCCCGCGTGAGCAGCTCCACAAGGAAGGGAGAGAGTGGCCCCAACGCCGCCTACGTCGGCCGGGCTTTGCCCATCGGCATGATGAGGAGAAGGAGGAGGGAGGGCTGGCGGCGGCAGCGCTAGGCTCGCCCTCCCGCCACGGTGCTAAAATACAAAATCTCATGAAGTTGTCAATGGAAGGTAGCATGCTTATGCTGTGTACTTTTTTTAAAGTCCATGAGGAAATTTTGAATATCATTCAGTTCTATTTTAAAGTTCATTAAAAGTGTGTATCAATTTTTTGAAAGTTCATAAATTTTATTACAAGTTTATAATGTAGGGCTTTCTGAATGTGTTCTCAATTTTTGGAAGTTCATAAACATTTTGGACGGTTCATCGGAAAGGGAAAGTATAGGATCTGGGTCGTCCCAACATTGTTGTTTTT